CTCAACAACAAGAAGTGGAGCGGGAAAGACCTGCCACTGAAAGCCGGAGAGAAACTGGACGTGATTGTCAAAGCTCAGGATGACAAAATGGTCTGTCGGAACGAGGAGGGAAAGTGTGAGTATTTACTCACCGTGCCAGTGAAAGTTTGCATCTTTGAATGCATTTTAACCATCCTTTTCAGGGTTCAATGATTATACAACACAACCTCAATGAATTTTGAAATGTGAGCTTATTGATTGTGCTCCACATAGTCATCTTATATGTACAACCTTAGATGTATTTTATGAGGTTGCGCCTTGAAAACACATTTTGTTGCCATCAATAATTGGGCTCTGGTGTAGTTAGACCCCTCTTATTGTAAGAAATGGTAAAGTTAACTTCATTTGGTTGGTTTCCTGGTATGGATCTGGCTTGAAACACACAGTTCACAAATTTTCACCGTGACATTGGTCAAGGCTAAATGCTAATGTTGCCTTGCTTCATCTAATACAAAAGTGGTGTGAAGTGTGATTGGGAGCATTTCCTTGTTGAAACCCGTCAATTATGTCCAAATTTTAACTTTCGTTTGATTCAACGAAAAGTTGAAGAATATGGTGGTAGTCTTCCTCTTTTTTTATTATTATTACGAATATAAATTGACAGTCAGCATAATGCTATTCTCTTTTGGAGTGGTGACTTCTTTTATAGCTCTCTGTCCATGATAATGTCAGACAGTGTGGACTGTGGACATTGGCCCTCCCCACTAATTTCCTTTTATCTGAGGCTCTGTCACCCACAGACGCAAATTGTCTGAGGGTGACTGTTTGGGTCAGACTCAAAACATTATTCTTTTTGTTGATTAATATTTATTTTGCATTATCAGTGCAATTCTGCAATCGTGTTCTATTTGTCTAAACTCAAAAATCTCCATTTTACAGTTGGTTATGTTTCAACCAGCCATGTGGTGGAGTAAGTACTGCAAATATTTACATATAAAAACCAAAAATAAGGCATCCAATAAAAAGTACATGATCTAATCGTTTTGTTTTTCCCACAGTGATGGAGAAATCTATGATGACATTGGAGGAGATGGTATATAAAATCAGTTTTGATCAATTTATTAATACATTTCTGCAATTAATTATTTTATAATACTTTTTTTTTTTCTCCTCATTTCAGACTGCATCTATGACAATGACTGAGAAACATCCTTCACTGGCTGAATACACTGAGACTATTAACTTTTCACTATGTGTTATTTATTATGCTCACTGATGGTACTTTAGGAGATGCTGTAAGTTAGCTGCACAGTCTTTAGTTTTCCTGTTCTAACTTATAAATATGCTTTAAAGATGATAATTATATGTGAAACAGATATGGGAAGAAGGGCAAGCTTGAAGTCATTTGAACAATCCCATGTTGTTGTGTTTTTTATAAGTTTCCAGCTTCAAAAGCAAAACAAAAAGAAAAGCAGAAGATGAAGTTAGGTAGATCAACAGTATTTAATTATTTCCCTTTTTCCCCCTAACATATTCTTTTTTGGTTGTCATTTAAAACTCTACAGCACTGAATTTTATTTTCATTGTCTTGCTACATTATAGAAACAGTATACAAGAAAAATATTAAGCATTTGAGGATTTGTTCTTTCTTTGTCAGCGCTGATATATTATTTGAGCATTTTGTAGCTACCTGTAAGTCTAACTTTGATCATCAGTAAAAATGTCCTGTTTATGGTGCCAAATAACATTTCATGTCCTGTATATATTTTCTCACAGCTTGAGTTTGTCCTATTGTGTACACACTGAAATAAACAGCACTTTTGTTATCAAACTAAATAGAACCTCAGGTTAGACTCTGTCATGCCTGTATATGCTGATGACACATGGAAACATTAAGAATGATGCACATTCAATGATTTAATGAAGAACATCATTAGTTCATGAAGAACATGAACTAGTGGGAATTAGTTCCCATGGTGATAGTTTCGTGTGCTCAGTGAAACCTTAGTGTCATCTAGTGGCAAAAACCTGCAACTACAACCTTTATCATGTTTTTCAAATTATTTTAGCACTTAGTTGTGTCTGTATTTTTATTGACGTCTCATTTCCTGTTCTGGTTGCAAAAAAATCTGCTGACTTACACACTTTATCTTTGCAGCCATGCATGTAAAATAATTATAATTAGAATAAGGAAGATGTGTCTTTTGACCACACTTGTTCGGAACATTTTACTTTACCCATTCTGGTTGATGAAGATACAATCCACTAGATCAGGTCACCTGTGTAAATGAATTAGCAAACACTACAGTTAATGTACATTCCCATAGCATAAATCTCAGGTGAACATATACAGATATTTTAGAGGTATGAATGAAATAAATTATATTTTTCATGGATATAAGAATGGTTGGAAGGACCGTTTTTAGTCATTTGGAAGTCAGAAGTTCTCATACCTCATCGTCCACAAGAATCTTAAATTTGTAGATTTGTGTGCTTCATCGTTTAACTCTTAGGGGGGGAGGGGGGGAACTTCAGTTCCTTTTAAAAGCAATAAGTGCACAACTTTAAAAGTATTGGGATTTTTCAAATCATTAAATGCTTATGTTATAGATAAAGCCTGAAATGTAAACACACACTTCAGTGTTGTTCGGATGCAACAGGGCTGTGATTATAAACACATCAAAAGTAGTTAAAAAAAAAAAAAAGAATATATGCTAATAAGTTTGGAAAGCACTGACCTCAACTTTACAGAAGATGGTGGACACATACAATGCAGGAAACCATACAATTTAAATTAAATTAATTGAAATTAAGTCTAATTCTCTTTAGATATTCCAAATAACCTTTTTTATCCTTTATATTTTAACTTATGGTCATCATGTATGCCATAATTTTGACTTGGAAAAACTGCTTCCGCTCTGACAGGAAGTCTTGGTCTGTTCTCATCCATCATGGCTCCTCCAGTCGCAGTGTCACCGCTAATCAAGGTAAAAACACAGCACAAAACAATATATTTAAGCATGGAGTCGGGTCGTACCTGTTGGGTAAATTAGATAAATTAGTTGAAGCTCCAGGTCCGTTTAGGATTTAACAACAGATAACAAACTGACCTCTAAAGGTTGTTATTTGGCAGCATGCTAGCGGATACCTGCTAGCTGTGACATTGAAATGCAGGTGAATGTTTTGCTTGTCAGAACATTTCGTAACTGTTTTCTTTCCACATTTGGATAATGTAAAATGCGTCACTTATGTTGCCAAATGTGTATTATGTCACCTTAAAAGATAAACTGATTTGTTACGTTGTTTTGTGTCTCCTAAAATACAGAATCCATGATAAATAACCATCAATTAATTACAAAAAAACATCTTGTTGGTAATGAAGTTGTTACATTTATTAGGAACCTGCTGAGAACCTTTTTATGATCAATAACTTTTTTTTTTTTAGCTCACATGCAGCTAATTGAAAAACATTGTTCCTGTTTTTCTTTCTGAAGTTTTTCTCTCTTTTTTTTGCAATATAGACGGCCAGGTGGTCGGCCCTGCTGCTTGGTGTGCTCTATGGGAAGCAGAGGTTCGGTAAGTGGGAATCTAAATCTGTTTTTCCGGGGTCAGCTTTTGAATGATTTATATCAGTGGTCCCCAAACTACGGCCCGCGGGCCGAATCCGGCCCGCCTCCACATTTGGTCCGGCCCCCTGAACAATACCAGAGAGCATTCAGATTTTTTTTTTTTCCATATACCGTATTTTCCGTACTATAAGCCGCTTATATGAGGATTTTTCTTCAACCACCAGGGGGCACTTTAGCAGGAAGTGAATCATTGGAAGTCAAAATTGGAGATAAAAGAAGAAAGCGCCCATTAAAAATTGTTAACTTTGGCTGTAGCTGTTTTTCTTTCATGCAAAAAATAGTTATGACAGAAAGCATGATTAAAATCACACCATAGTAAAATCTTGCTTTTACATCATCATAACCTGTAAATTCTTAAAATGAAATATATTTTAAATGAAATAATTACATAGTAAATCAATTCAAAAATGCTTAAATGGCATTGACACAAATGTTCAAACTAAAACCTCACTCTCTTACACAGCAAATATCCTTCTTTAAAGTTCTTTTTCCTCTCTTTGAGTTGGCTCCTTTACAGTCACTGAAATACACGTCCAATTGACTACATTGTTATTCTCATTAAGATTACCTGAAGCCTATTGCTGAAGAGGAGAGGAGGGTCGAGGAGGCAGAGAAGAAGCTCAGAGAGGAGCAGGAACGCATCTACAAACAACTGTCTGAAGGTGATAAAAACGATTTTCTGTAATATGTTCTCCATTTTTGTCTCCTTAATATTTTGTTAAATGCCATATTTATACAATATATATATATATATATATATATATATATATATATATTTAATATATTCTTTTTTTTCTCCCTTTGCAGCAAATTCTGACACCATCCTTAAATGAACTTCCCTATGGACCAATCATGAACTCAATAAAAATCTTCAATATTTTTCATGGCATTGTTTTAGTCTGCTTTTATATTACACAATGACCTTTTTGTACCAAAATGTTTTGGTGAACACATTTCAGGTTCACAACAGGTAACTGTGAGCACATATGCACGCCCTTCAGTGAGAGGTGAGCCTTTGGAAAAGCACTGCTGTAATCCCAGCCTAGTTTAGCTCTAATCCCGGGATTAGGGTCGGGGACCAGTAGTAAAAAGTGCAGTGTGGACAGAATACTCTTGTGTTGTATAACATCCTAACCTTCATTATGTACTCTGAATGGAAATATTGTTTGGCACAAACTACAAAACATAGGCAGACTGTTAAATTTTCATGTTTCAACGCTGAAGCGTGTTTTTGTTGGGTTTTTTTTTATCTCTCAGTATTTAGGTTAATACAGCTGTACTGATACCTCTGCTGGTCAAAATAAATGTTTTTTTTTTCTTTTAAATAAATTCAGCTTCATCCTCTAAAGTTTTACTTTAGAATGGCAGGAATCAACTCACATCATGACAACATAAAAATACATTTGCTTTATTTGAGTCATCATTGTACACAAGGACCAGACGATGAGGCAAGCTTTAAGTCGCTGGCTTTAAATTAAAATAACTACAACAAATGTGTTACAGATGTATCAACAGCACATACAAGTGTCATTAATACCTAATATTTTAATCTTATACATTCAGACATCACTTTAATAAGTGGAAAATGTTAAAGCTAAACTGAGACAAGCATGAACTCACGGCTCAATAAGAGCAATACAATTCTGTAAGCGTTACTATTTTACCTTTAAAAATATTGTATTTACAAGTGTAGATGTGTAGGTGTACATGTCGTTACACAAAGTCAGGTTGCTCAGTCTGTTGACTGGAACAGCTTTGTCACCCAGGAGTCTGAATGGCTAGTAGCACTGCTGCCCTACAGCACCACAGCCCTGGGTTCAGTTTCTTGATCTTATGAATGAGTAAAGTTTCCACATTCTTTGCGATGTGTGGATTGCGTTCTGTTCATGCTCAACGCAGGCAGTGCCTGCGTGACGTAGTACCGGCTTATTTTTAAAGCCATTTTTTTAGCTTCTTGCTCTTACTTTAAGACAAGCATTCGAGTCCAAATAGATAAAATGCAAAAGAATTTGAATCCCAGTTTTCATCTTGGACCCCCCAATGTCTCTGAACAAGATCTATTTCCAAATACATTGATCTACTCACGTTATACAAGGTTTTCTAGGCTATCCTCTCTCGCTCTCTCTCACACACACACACAGACTCCGTATGTACATTATAAAGGCATCAAAGATAAGCAGCTACAGATTTTGTTGATTGGAAACATGCATAGCTATTGCACATGATTACCACATGGCAAGTTGCCTTACTAATTGTAGCAAATTGTAGTTGTAGATCTCTGCAATCAAAGTAAACACACTCTCATTTGTAAATAGTGAATGGAAAGAGTGAACATTGAAAACAATTGCTGGAAGATGTAGATGTACTACTTTCTAAGAGGCCTTTTTACAGTCTGGTCTTGTCCATAAAAATGTAACAGAGCTATATTTTCTCTGTCATGCAATGCAGTACATATGGTACATGGCAAGGCTACCAGTGGCTATGTAATGTATTTACAATGATTATCTTGTGACACCTGCTGAAACAAACACAAAAAAATACAAAAATGTATCATCTGTACAGAAACGACAGTATGTTAAGTCTGTACCTGTCAAGTACCTAAAAGTAATTCTCAAAAGATAAACAATGTGTTTGAAACAAAAGTGAAATTGGAATGCAGAACAATATTGTCAAAGCAGTTTAAAGTTAAATACAACAAAATTTGATTCAGTGATGTCCCAGTAATGACTGATGTTTTACCATGTCCCATTATTTTAGCTGAAGTGCAGAGCTCTTTCTGTTCAGGCTTTTTCTTCTCTGACTGAAACTCCTACTCTTTAACCCTTCTGTGGTCTTAAAAAATGGGATCATTTAAACCCCACACCTTCTTTTATTCTGTGCGCAGCCCAACTGAGAAGCACTGACCTGATGCGCACTTTTACAAGGTTTTTTGTGTGGTTTCAATAATTGACAGTCCAATGGGACAACCCCCCTAATGCTCCACTGTCTGACCGTGACATTTGCTGCGCTCCTCCTGGGCGGCGCGTTAAGACTGTGGGAGGCTTATAAGTACTTTGGGGCTTTGCGAACATATCCAACTTCTTCATTTTAGAGCATTTTTCTTGCCAGTCAGTCTAAAATATTCAAAATATTTCTTTTCAGATGATTCTGAGCTCCCACTGTCTGTAGAGTCTTTTAGCAAACGGAGCAGGTCTTGGAGCCTCCACCACTCGGGTTGTTTGCAGCGGCTACATGAAGAATAAATAGAAAAAAATAAATTACTTTTTGCTTGTGTAGCTATTTACACATTATAGTCAGAGCTTCTTCCTATTTAAAATTTTCAATTATGTAAAGTTGGTCTTACAAGTGCTCTTCCTTCAACTTTTCCTATGTAGAGAAGTTAAAAGCTACAGCTAATCTTGACCGCTTATACAAAATTAAGGGCTGATGTTCTTTCAACACCATGGAACCATTGTCAGGAGAGTTTTCACTTTCTATAACATTCATGCCTTATAGCATGCATTATTGGTATAATCCATAGTGGCTTACAGACATTATATAGTACATTGTTTTATGACTTAGTCAAGCGAGATAGAGCAAAATATCAGATGACAATGAACTTTTGCCACAGCGCAGTGAATTTAAAGGATCACGTTACCTTTTGCTGCCTGAGCAGCCTCTTTTGCGGCATTCTCTTCCTCTATGGCTTTGAGTTTAGCTTCATATTCCTCTTTTTTTGCATTCCATTCTTTCCTGTTGTTAAGGATGCCATCTAACATAGGCTGGATTTGGGGGTGGAAGCGAGAAAATTCCTAAGAAGACAAAATCAAGAATAAATGGCTGAAGGGGAACAAAATGAGAATTACATCAGATGGTGGGTTTTGATCAAACCCATTGTTTTGCTGTGAAATCAACACAAACATAGCTCACATTGCTTTTTTATGGATTAAGAACCTATTGTAGGCAATACCTTGTAGACGAATGTGCAGACGAAGTCAATGAAGCCACATTGTAGCTTTGGAAGCTCTGCTGCTTTGTTCCTGTCCATCATGGGCTGGTGGAAAAGACAGAATCAAATCATTGTTAGAGAAAAGTCAGTGATGGAAGCAATTTCTTTTAAATGGTAATTTATAATTTCATGGTTCCCATAGTTTTAAATATGATGTGATGCAAAGGTCTATTTCTCTGAGATGGTCTTCAAAATAGGACATTTGAGAAAAGCAGTTGAGCGTTGGTCTTTATAACTCGGAGAACAGCTACAACAAAACAGTTTTTGTCCATATAAACTTGCATTAACAGTCAGAGCAATCATTTAAAAGCTTTAAATTACTGAGACTGTGACAAAGCCAATCAAGAACCCTATTTTTTTCTTGCCAGTGAGGAGGATGCAAAGGAAGTGAGAGATCCAAAGCTTCCTGCTGAGCTAATCTTTTTTTCCGTGCGAGATTATGCTATAGTATAACAAATGCACATTTCTTTCCGATCTTTCTAAAACATTTTTGCAGGGTGCCGATAATTATGCAGGATTCTTGTATTTGGTGCTGAATTTATCCTCACTGCAGTGTACTACTTTTTTTTGTTATAACACCCATTTATGCAACATAATTATGGTATAATTGCAACTTGCAAACTCACAATAGGTTGCTGTTCCAGCACTGTCCTCTCCAAATCACCCTGCTCCCAAAACTCTGCCGCCACAGACAAGGCAACCTGAAAATTACACACTCAGTTCATCATCTGCCAACAACCAGCAGCCCCTCTTTGTTTAAACTTTTTATTCTCATTACTCTTACCTTGCTCTGCACTTCCCAGGGCTTCGTGATGGCCGACAAGTCACATGCTGTCATCATCATTGCCCTGGAATAAACATTATCCAGGTTATAAACCCACTGGACAGTAGACGCCCGAGTTGTTTTCATTTCACTCACATGACGATCTCTTTTCTGGTTGTTTCTAGAGACATGAAATCCACCCATTTCTTTTCATCTTCATATGTTTTTGAAAGGTCCACAATCTTTTGGAACATTGTTCGCTTCCTGTGACAATAGAAGATGAATCACTTTGACTCATTTTTAACCAAGAGAAAAATGTACTGGCAAGACCGGACTGAAAAGTTAGAGACGCTACTCACTTGAAATACAGAGCCAGGTCGGTGGCGATGATGGCAATGTCGGTAAGATGAATCACGTGATCTACCTGCCGCCTGTTCAGGTTCTGGTAGATGTTCAGTGACTGCAGATGAAAAACAAAGAGTGAGGTTGGTATATTCAGAGACTGTACAACATGTAGCCCACATGTTAGGTTAAACGACATTTCTTTACCTCGTCGGAGAGGAGAAACTTTCCAAACTCTAGATGGTGTCGTTCCAGGATGGAGGAGCCGTGTAACTTGGCCAGAGGATTACCCGATCTGTTGGATTAAACGAAAAAAAAATATCCTTAAATATCTGACAACTTAACAGTCGTCTGACTCAACTGAAAAGCCAAGTCTTAAGAAGTCTAACTCAAAAGTATTTTTAAATTGCCTTTCATTCAGGCTCGCCACCGCAATAGTAACTTAAATTGGTGAATTGTTGCAAAACTTAAACCATAATTAATGAACTGGTTCAGTAAGGAATTATGATCCAGTTTGCTTACAAGCACAAGAAATTTACAGTAGTTTGCTGGATTCCCTGTAGTTCACAGTAGGTTACAGCTTCTTAATACAAAGTATTCAATTTAAATGTGAAAAGAGATATCCTGTGAGAGTGTAGTCACTTACTTGACCTGGTACAAGTTGTTTGTTCCTCTGTGATCAATGTCATGCAGAAATCCTGCCGTTATCATGGCCATGACTTCTAGGTCTGTGTAATATCGCTTCAGATGCCCTGTCTGAGGACAAAAAGAAATAGATATGCAGTGTAAAATAGAAATATTTATGTTTTGAAGAATAAATTACAACTAAACTAGTTAAAATGAAAATTAAACTGGTTCATTTTCTTTTAGTGTTTTATAAATGGGCACTGCAATATACTTAAAAACAACAATCAAATGGATACCGTTAACAATGTGAACATGGTCTGTCCCACATTGAAGCCGTGACGCCAGTTGTGGTAGGTGATTTTTCTGTAGCCTTTACTGACAGAGTACATGAAGCGAACCAGCACCTGAGAGGAAATTAAAGAGTTAATATCTCAAACTTTTTGCGGACACGCTCAACAATAAACGTTGTTTACATGTGCAACTATATTACTTCTTGAGGAATCTGGAACTTCTTCACTACACCGACTTCGTAGTACATCTGGATCCCGCATTTCACCAGCTCCAGTTCTGTGCAGTTAAAATCTGAGAAGCGAAACTCGTAGATCTCAAATTTCTTGATAAGAGGTGGCAGGTCTTTTTTCTAAAAGGATGGCACCAGAAAACGAAAGCTGAGTGAGAATAAAAACCATGTTTGCATGAAATATTTTATATGCCTATAGCCTCACACTCTGATTTTTTTTGTCCTAAATAAAAGAAACCTTTATAGTTGGAAACCCAAAATAGACGAGTTCAGGCATTACCAGAATGTCAAGAAGATCCTCTTCTTCACAGTCCCAGGGCTCACAGTCATAGACCTCTCTTGTGTTCTAGAAAAGTTGGCATTATATACTTAAATCAATCAAAAATCGACGAAAAAAAATATGAAAAATCCAAACATTTAAAATGCAATCAAAATTACTGACACTTTTCTATCAGGGCACTAGACATTTTATGGTGCTTTTTGAAGAATGGAGCATTAATGCATCGATTTAGTCTAGTTTAACGTGTGTCTAAATTATACAACCCTGATTCATTACTTCAATTATTAACCCTGAACCTTTAAAACTTTGTGGGCTGTTTGTAGTCTGTCTTTTGACTCCCTTTTGCCAACGACGACTGGACAATAAACTGCAGATGACAACAATTTCATAATAGCTTTATGTCACTTACTTTATTTCAAGTCACTCCAAATTAGTTTTAATCTATTTTGCAGCCAATCCCTTCTCACCAGTTACTCTGAAATTAAGTAGGGGTAGATTTCTATTTATGTAATCTTAACGGATTCTTGAAGTAAAAATGCGCCTTTGAAAGTAAGAATGTTGTATTTTTTTTTTTTTTTTAAGTAAAAGTACCACTGACCAGGATATTCTGAATTTCATCATTTCGACATTTGACGTGGTAGAGCACCATATCTTGAGCGATGTCCTTTCGGTTCTCGAGCTTGTTCATTTTGTCGTACGTGTCCGTGTTCAGAGCTGACCATCCCAGGAACTGAGTCAAAGCCTGGGAATCAGAAAAATTTACATAAAATACTTTCAAAGAATAATAGGGGAAAAAAATAATGGATCTTTGTAATTAGATGAAATTGTACAAACTCATTTAGTCAGCCACAAGGATAGATTAGATATACCTCCATGAGATTTTCATCATGATCATCAAATGGCTTCCCATCTTTCCTGTTGTAAAACGTTGCCACGCCGACTATTTCTTCTTTCTTGTTGACAATTGGAAGCGAGAGAACATTTTTTATGGTCCAGCCACTGTCATCCAGCGGCCCTGTCTGCGATGACAAGAAAACACAATCAAGTCTGTAATTGTATAACTTGATTTCATATTTATGTCAGTCAGCAATTTCCAAACATTTCCAAAACACTTGTCAATGAGTAGAAATTACGTGCATTAGTAAACAAAGTACTTAGGGACCAAAATGTAGATAGATGCCTTAGTTTAAGACAGATACAATCACATTTGTTTATAACAAAACAAAACAAAAAAAAGAAAACAACATGATCGGTGATATAATACTTAAAATAAATATTAATTTGGGACAGATCACGTCCAACAAAGTACTAATGATCATGCCATATATGTCTATTCTTTAAAGATAGGAACAATAGTTTAAAATAAATATTTTTATAAATTTTTTTAGTTAATATATCTTATTTTCTTATTCATTCAAATGCAGTTCTTTTTTAAATAACTAAAAAAAATACAGTTTTTAAGGACGATTGTGTATGGTTTCTAATTTCTTAGCATAGAACAAAGTTAAATGTTGTTAATTTATCATTATAAATTCAACCAGGTGTAGTTCCTGCAGCTTTCTTTTTGTAATCTATAAACCAGGTGAGTTGGTTTTTCCTGCATGACCAAATACTTTCCCCACCATAAATAATGTATGAGATTATCATGGTAATAGCGTGACGGCATGTTTTTTTTTTTTTTTTCTAATTCATCGATTTCCTTTCCAATGTACTTGGAAGCTGTTACAAATCTTTACCAGAGAAATATAATGTACATTATCATCATAAGGAAATGAAGGTTTTTTTTATATTACATCTAAATTTGAGTAAATCAGTCTTTTAATAAATGTGTTTTTTCTCTAATACTAAAACTCTTCTACTACTACAGCAAACCAGCTAGAGCTTTTTAAGTCACCAACAGCATCAACTGATCCAACAGCATGTTAACCTTTGATTCAAGCTGCATTTACTGCCATTGAGGTTGACCGTCCACCCAGCCATTATCATCCAATAAACTGTAAATCATGAAGGTTTTACAAAAACAAGTGTTTGGTGAAGCACCTGGAGGCACGTAAAGTTTCTCACCTGGAACTGAAACGTCTCATCAGCGGCCGCATTCATGATGTTGCAGATCTGAAGGGCGGAAAGGAGCAGACTAATTAATTTGGCTTCAGATAATTCAGCAACTCGCTGCCGTTGTTGGAAAGAAAACTCACAAAGCCGCTCTCAGCAACATAAGTGGGAAGGCCGCTGCTCAAGGCCCAGTGGTCTGCAGGTGGATTTCTTTGTGACAAATTGAAGAAAAGACAAGTCAGAAGATGATCAGTCTGTTACTGAACTGTGATTATTAGTTTCTTCAAACTCATTTGAAAAGTGTTAAAGTAAAAGCATCACTGACCAGGACCGCTATTGACCAAACATTAAAAAAAAAACTCACGGTATTACTTTGATGTCTTCTTTTCCATGGAGTATGTAATCAATCACCTTGTAGAAAATTACTTCCTAAGGGGTAAATTAAATAGATTAGCAATAGAGACCAAAGCCAAACTAAAGTAGAGACTTTTTAATGAATACACGTGTGATGAGAAAGTTGAATAAAACAATGCACCCTGCCATCTGGAGTTACAGGTCCACTGTAAGGTGGCTGCTCTCCCATCAACACAGGCCAAATGTCAAAGAACTCCTAAAAGAAGAAGGGTGCCGGTCAGTAACTTCATGGCAAATCACACAAAATAATTCGGCCATAAAATAAAGATAGACACCAAACCTTTTCCTTTGTCATGTCTAGTAACCCCACAGAGTATCGGTCACAGTTGAGGTAGGCCCGGACTGTGTACAAGGCTTTGTGAAACTGTCGCTCGATGTCTGTCAGCTCTTCAAACACCTTGTTGGCAGACCACAGCAGCAGCTACAAGGACACACACAAGATTTAAAGGCGGCATGCATACAGACATAGAAATGACAAACTTTTGTTTTAACGTTTGCCCGCACCTGTCCTTTGCGTGTCTCACAGTTGTGGAGGTAACTTAGGTGAAAGATCTTAAGGTTCAGAGAGGCAATTTTCAGGTACTTCAGGAAGAGCTGCAGACACGAACAGGAACATGATTTATATGTCACATTTCTTCAAAATGACTCCACATTTTGTCGCGATACAACCACGAGAGGTGATGTAACATAAGACTCTTTTATATGATGAAACAGAAAGTTTACAGAAAGAATACATTTTAAAACTCGCTCTCCCTCTTAACCATTACTTATTATTTTTCTTGGCTTACCACATAAAATAAAATACATTGAAGTTTGTAACTGTGATAGAACATTTGAATGTCTTTTGGTTGTTTTCTAGTATTGGTCATTCTTCTCTTACTCATTCAAATGCCCATCTTACAAAGATATGAAATAGGGAAGTGCTCAAAATTAAATAAATCGATGAAAAATAAAATAAAATAAGCATCTACATGAATAATTAACAGATACATGTATAAAGCAACAATAGAATTATAAAATATATTAAATTCTAAGCTCAGTATACTTTTCAGTCTCTTAAAAATATGTTCATTATAATGAAACTTTATAACAAAAATCATTTTTGGATGTGACTGATAAAAATCTTGCAATTAACCTTGAAATAACATATTAAACTGTTTAGCTTTAATAGTTTCAACCGTGCATCATGAACCTGCACTAGATTACTTTACTTCACTAATTCTCTTAAGAATTAGATTTTATCCAAACTGTTCTGCTGCTCAGTCATCAGCTGTGCTGGGCGCATCGCCACCATTAGCTTGTGGACTCACATCTTCATCCTGGCTGGTGAAATGTGGTCCTGTGGTTTTGTTCAGGGCCATGATCACGGCCACCAGGTCTTTGCCGTTGAGGATGGGCGCTGCCAGCACGTTCCTGGTCTCGTATTCTGTGAGTTCATCAACGAATGAACTGAAATACTGGCTCTGAAAAGGTACAACATATTCACAAACACGTGTGAAAGTCTTATTTTTCTTTATGCTACATTAAGAGTTTAGGAGGAAAAATTGTATCTTCTTAAAAGTGGTCAATCCGATTTAAGCACTCTGGATCTTCGCACTTTGAATATTTAAAAAACATCTCAAAATACTAAATAGATCTCAGTAAATAGGCCAATGTGATTATTGCTGCCCAACAAACAAGCAGTCAATTAATTTATTTGAATACATAGGTTGAATGGAAATAACTCGAACTAGTTTTGATCTGTTTTACATTCCTGCTGACAGCCAACTAAATGTCAGCAGCGTCTAATCCATGGCTACAGCAGAGGATGATGCGATCTGAGAATAAATGGATTATGTCTGACAATGAGATTTACAACCACACTTTGTTCAGGTCTGCAGCAGGGAGCCTGTACATGCACATGTGAATACAAATTAGGCACATAATTTGTTTCTATTTAATTTCAATGTTACATTTAAAATGATGTTGTACATAATTCACAGGACTTCAAATATCTGTATTCTTTGCGTTTTAGATTATCTTTAAATTTAAGTTTAAGGTTTAAAATTGGGGGTTATATTGGATAGAATAGCCAAATACTGAAGCACAAGACTCTTGATCAGAGCTGCTTTGAGGTTGGATGGAGTTTAGTTTAGTATAATTAACACCACCACTAATGCTAACTAAAGCTCCAGCTTTGTGAAATGATCATTTAAGACAATATGTTTAGGTTAGTTAGCAATCAGTTAAATTGTCAAGAGAGTAGCACAGTTCACATATTATTTGAAGAACTGTGACATTTTTTGACATTATTACCTTCCTTATATATTTACTCTGCAGAAGATGTTATGAGTGAATCTGAAAGAAGGCTTGTTTTGGAAATGCTTGACAACAAATATGAAGTTTTGAGACTGAAATAGTTTGAGCCGGCTGCGTTCCCTTCTGTCTCAGGCTGTGTGCATCATCATCAAGAGTAATTCTCTCTGGTTCATCTTTTTGCTCTGACTCACAAACTGATGTCCAGCCTCCCTGCCCCCACTTTACCTCTTTGACATCTTTCACGTTGACATTCTTCTTGGTGAGGGCCACATTGCCAACTATCCCCAAGTCCAGAGGGTAGACGATCTCAGAGTCTGGTGGAACCACACAGTCCTCCAGGACTGAGTTGGTCGAGACGTTGAAGAGCCTCGTCGCCAGCTCTCCGATGCCGTTCCGCTGCCGGTACATGAACAGGCTGCAGCGGTCGGCGTGAATGAGAGCTCCGAGCCGCTTCAGGATCTTGAAGACCACCTTTTCCATGTTGATGTTCTCTTGCATGTCTTTGATTAAATCAAACATTATTCTGCTTTCCTCAACCTTTGGAAATTAGAGAAATATAAGCTTGTTTTTGTTTTTTTTTGTTTTTTAATTCACAAAGATTATTTTGTTTCTATACTGAGAAATCATCAAATATGTGACTTACCCGGCTAAGTTCCTCCAGCTTTCCAAAGTCGATCTCTTTTTCTGGGAGTCCTGATATCTTTGATATGGAAGAAGGGCTCAATGTTTTGCAAAAGTACTTTGCAGCAAACGCAGGGTTGTCGCGAAGAAACTTCTCCACGTCTTCTTTTTGCACACCCATTGTTCCTCCTTCCTCTTCTTCTGTCAGATATTCCTTGTCCTCTTCCCTTTGCTCTCAATGAAGCTCCAGTGCTGCTCCAATGGAGCAACCGCTTCTCCAACAAGAAACCACAAATAAGCGAAATGACTCACACTCCAAATACCATTTTATCGACTCAGGAAAAGAAACAAATCTTACCCAGGTGATGTACAGATTGGGGGAAATCTATACATTCAAATGCAGGCAAAAAAAAAAAAAAAGTTAATAATCCCCTTGTTTAGTTGGATGAGTGGACTGCAAGAGGGAGAGCCCTGAGGAGAAGGCAGAGGGCTGAATCCCAGCAATCCCTCTGTCATCAGCAGATAGTGCTGAAGGTTAGCAGGGATCTACCTATGCTAAACTCATCAGCTGATCATGTAGTAACAGATATGTGGGCCAAAGGACCCAGCCTTCACTCTGCATCAGTACATTCACACCAGGATGACTCCACTCCTGATAACTGCGGTCTTAGTAAGAGTGTAGACATGGACTGTGACATGTTTTTATTCAGGCGAGCAGCAGGATTTGATAAGCTTATCTTCTGAGACACTCTTTTAATTCTTCTAATGAAATCAAAATTGAATATTGTTGAAGCAAGTCTATTAGTTGCAACTGAAAAAAAAACAGAAATGACATAGAAATCCGTAGAAATCACATTCATTTTAAGCAAACGTCTTTTATATCGATATGTTCAATATGATTCCTCTCTGGACCTGTACAAGCTGCTTAACTCTTTTCAACAAGGCCTCCTTTGTCTGATCCTCTGTTTTCTTTGGACACTGATGGTCTCACCATCCAAACTCTTTTTTTTTCTGCAAACAATCTTTACTGCAGATTGACATGAATAAAAAGGGATGTAAAGCGCCTCCAAAGGAAAACTAATCCGTTCATTCAGAGCTAGGAGGACCCGTCTATTATAAGGCTGCATAAAGACCTTAAGCAAAAGGTCAAATAGATAATCTGCTGCCACTATAATGCATAACGACAGGTGTGTATGCATGCATGTGTGTGAATGTAAGTTTGTTGCCCTGCTAGTTCTCAAACTGACAGTGAATGTGATTTTGGGCTTATAACAGAATACTTTCTTGTGTGACCTATGAATAAAATTAGATGGATATGGTTATACATAACACTCTAATGTATGTTATGTGGAACATCATTTTTATTGTTTCAAGGTATTTTGGAAAACAGGCTGTGAAAAACTTGTAAGGAAAGATGAATGTGTTGAAAAGCATTTCATGCCCTTTGTAAAGTAAGGTGGAGGACATTTAATGCTGTGGGCCCATTTCTCTGCCAAAAAATAATCTCATGAACTGTTACCAGGATATTTCAAGTTCAGTTCCAAGTGCCTCTTATAGTAAACTTGAACGTGAGTCATTATTGCATCTTTTTGCTAGGTAATGATTCAAGAGATTTCTACAAGAGCTTTTATAGATGGTTTATCAGACAGACAGAATCATTCTTCTAACCTGAGTTTTTTTTAAGAACCCATGGAGGGAACTGCAGAGGAGAGAGGATATTCAGCACATCAAGAGCCTAATGTTAAAGAGCAGGTTTGTGATAATTGTGGAAGTGTTGACTTTGTTACAGTAATGTGGGATTTCTTCCCCTACTGAATAAGTATAGAGAAATTAACATAAATGTAAATGCCACCACAAAATGTAAAGATGTAACAATATCATATCTGGAGCGTAATTCTGCTTGAAACAGAGTAGTTGGCTGTTGGGATGAAGTTGTGAGCAGTAAGAGAAACAAATTAAGCCACATAATTGAACTTGTATAAGGATGGGTCCCCTTGAAATCAGTTCATTAGCTGATACTTGTGTGAAGAACCCAGAACCTTTTCACTGAAAGCACCACTGTGCAGCCTGCAGTGGCACAGTTGGAAAAACCTCTGTAGCAAATGATACCAGGTCTTGAAATTAATAGATGTTAATGCAATGTTCTTCAGTTATTGTGCTTTCTTTAACTTTATTTGATATTGTGAAATGTATTTTATTTTTGTGGTAAGTAGAAAGATAGGCATAATTGGATTTTTTTATTTATTTTTTATAAAAAATAAATAAATAAAATCGTATCCACTGCACTGGTTGCACTGCTGACAAGCCCCAGTAGATGGCAGCAAACACAATTCTAAGTTTCAACTTTGAGCTTCAAATAACTGGGGACATTCGGGGGAAAATGAATGTAATATTTCAACTTGAGAGTTAAAGTGAATCCTCCAAATATTCATGATAAAGTTCTTGCAACATTTCTCTTGCCAGAAGTCTTCTGATAAGGATGATCCCTGGATGATTCTCTATCGACATTATCCAAGCAAAGTGGGTAGAACCAGGGTAGATCCAGAACCCGGAGCTGAAGGGATGACATACATCATCCTTAGGGATATATTGTACTTTTGGGAGCTTTTTTTCCTGGAGGTTTTTCTCCTGTCTTAACCTTACAGAATACAATAAATGGCTTCAGCAACAAGGAAAAACCCTGCTTCTTCTCCACGTGTCCTCAGTCCTTTTGATGATGAAGTACAATTTTCCAGATTACATCTTCAGCAAATCCTTCAGTGAACCTGAAGCCACAATCACATTAGTAGCAAAACAAATATGCCGTATCCTCCGTGAATGACAGTCAGCTTGTCACACTTTTGTTTAGAAGATAAAACACAATTTTAAACAGCCTCCCAGCCAGCATGCCTAGGTGGGACCCATGTGGGGACAAGGAGGGCAGACTATATGGGTCCCATATGGGTTTGTCCGCGGGTTCCACGATGGCCCCACATGGGTTTGCCCATGTAGGGCCACAGCCCACATGGGTGCTACATGGGCCCTAATTGGACAAAACCCATGTGGGCCACCACCATATAGGGCCCATGCAGGGCCCATGTGGGCTCTGGCCCTACATGGGCAAACCCATGTGGGGCCATCGTGGAACCCGCGGACAAACCCATATGGGACCCATATAGTCTGCCCTCCTTGTCCCCACATGGGGCCCACCTAGGCATGCTGGCTGGGCTGTTAACCAACATATCTAATACAGCCTCAATGCATCAGTAGATCCAGACCAGTTTTCCCAGCAGCCCAGCAGCAGGATGCAGCATCCACCACCTTGACCCGAACATTTTTTGATCTTTTATTCTAAACTTCCTAGTGAAGCAAGTAGAATTTGTTCTCTTTGGACAAAAATAATAATAATTAAATAAAACTTAGCAATGGGTTTCCACCAGGCTGTGCGTTCAGTCCACAACAAAACATTACGTTTTGGATCTTATTAGCTAGCTGCAAAACAGAAATTGAAATTTCTATAACTTATTTAACAGATTTTTCATTGTGCCCTTGACGTTTCTGTTCACCAGTTAAATCAGTGTTTTGTCAACTATCTATTTTGAGCAGCAAAAGTAGGATTACGTCCCTGATAGAGTCGATGGAAAAAAGTAGATCAGCAGTCTTGGCTGACTTCTCTGTTCTCTTCCTCTCTGAGGAGAGCCTTTACTGTCATAGTCAGTCTACATGACTGACCTTTTCTGTCTGCACACAGACAGCGGCATAATAACTTATTAAATGCCAGCAATTACACAATATACTGGACTGATTGTGATTAGGGATAAACCAGGGAATGAGAGCCAGTGTCTGTTTAAAGAGATAAACAAATGTCTACTTTCTCCCTCTATGTGGATTGAGTTAGCAACGTTTCATACTTTCAATAATTAGAGATTGAGAAATTATTTAATTGACAAAGCGAGTTTGGTTGATAGCAGCATCCGCAGTTAAGTAACTTTTATTCTTCTAATTATCTGACTGTGTTATTTGGGCTTGTTTACAGACTACCTCTTGACAGATTAAACCTTGGTTGCTCCACAATGACAGTGTTGGCAGACAGACCTATTCTATTTATTCTGTCTACTGAGAGTGAGGTGAAGTTGTGCCTTTAACTAAACTCTGCCATCTGTCCAAAGTGCCAAATATACTTGTGTGTATTTCTGGATCTACCCTGACCTTTTCATGGCTTCTTCACCCAAAGTGTCTCAGAATACCTCTCATTAAAAGTAATAAGTTGTTTTCCTTTATCAGGATCAGATAGTGGCTGATGTTTAAGAGCGATTGGCATGACTAATTTTAAAACGGTTAAGTTTGAGACATTCACATGGGAATTTTTAGATGTGATCTGTTGTTTAGTTTTTTTTTTTGTTTTGTTTTATTGTTTTTAGATGTACTTTTATTAAACTCGCTGCAGCTTTTCTAGAACCATTCAAATATTATTTTCTTCAGCTTATTTACCACTTAATATGAAAACTCTGATGTGGGTTGTGGAACAACGTGTGCCAAGTTTTCAGGTACCACTCAGAAATCAAATTGAACTAAAATTGATAACTGATAATTTTTTTTTCCTAAAAACCTTCAAACATGTTCCTGTTTGTTCCAGTGGAATAACCAAAATTATTTCTTTTGCCTAAATACCATAATACACCGTCGATAAATATTGAATTAATATCATTTTATCTGTATTTTAGAGCATATATTGGGTACCGTATTCTGTTGTACGGCATTGGCAAACATAATTCAGCTGTTTGTAAAAGACCAAACAAGAATCCTGTGTTTTTATTCTAACCCACGGAAGCAATTAATTAAAAGCTTGTGTTTAAATACAACTAATTTGCCAGGCGGTGTTACGCATGTGCCTGTTCTACTGTGTTTCCAGTCAGTTACATAATGGCCTAATTGTTTTTATCGTAAGTCTTGGACATAGAAGCCAGATTACGACAAGGATTTCAACCCAAAGAGATTACCTCTAGATTTAAGCACCTTATTTAGTTCCAAGCAATGAAAATCAGCCATAAGCTTGTCTGTTGGGCACGTATATAAAGGCAGCCACCAGCCCGAGACCCGATCTGCTGCAGAGTGAACACATCCACACCCAGAACTTTGATTTTTAATCTCGACTGCTACTCTTAACCCAAACAGGTAAGACGCTGGATTTGGATTTTAACATTAGTTGCCTCTTTACTAGTTAAATTGTTGCTTTTGAGTTGCATCTGTGCCTTCTGCACTCTAGCGAGAAACTGTGGGAAAATTGCAGACCAAAGACAATCCTCACTGAATGTTGAACCTTATTTGATATTAGAACAGAGAGTTCAGACTGGATTTAAATGTTGCATTAGAGGTTTTGTGTATTTTGTTTAAAATTACTCCAAATGGTAAAAAAAAAAAAAAATAATAATTTTTTTCATAAACACACGTTTCATTACAGAATGGGATCCTTTAAGCTGGCCCTGCTGCTGGTCTTTGTGTCCTGCGTTGAACGCAGTTTGTCTGCCTCCTGCATTGTAGATAGTTTCTCAGTCAAAGAAGACTTTGATCCAAAGAGAGTGAGTACAAAAAACAAAACCCGCATTGAGACGTGAATGTCAGGAGAAAAGAAAAGAAAAAAGACTAAATATTTCTGACTTCCCTTTTATGACAGTATGCTGGGAAGTGGTATGCACTGCAGAAGAAAGACCCAGAGGGGCTGTTCCTGCAGGACAACATCTCCGCCGAGTACACCATTGACGATGATGGCTCCATGACTGCCTCTTCCAGGGGACGGGTCACCCTGTTTGGGTAAGGAACCGAGTATTCATAAGAGGTTCTGCATCAGATACTGCTTTTTAACATGTTTTTCCCCTTCTTTAAGAACCGATGATGACCTGACCAGTGCAGGAAAAGATGTTCTTTTTCTTAGCCAGGTTTTAAAAAAACGTGTTCAGGACAGAAAGATTTAGGAGCAAAAGCGTGCTAAGCGTTAGTTATAAGCAGAGTTTTCACTCAATAATAAAGGATTAGGAAGAGATGTGATGAAAAAGTTTTTTTTTTTTTGCTTGTTTTGAAGATTTGTAGTAAATAGTTGTAAGCATTCAGAAAAGAGAAGCTAAAGAACTTTTCTTGCGTCATTGATCTGATTTTTGGTCTTGCAGCTTCTGGGTTGTCTGCGCCGACATGGCTGCTCAGTACTCTGTACCTGACCCTACCACCCCCGGCAAGATGTTCATGAACTACCAGGGCCTGGCCAGCTACCTCTCAAGCGGAGGTACGTTCAACGCCACTTCCCGTCACGCATTTGTGTTTTTACACTTCATTCCTACAAACATCGTACTTTTCTGTCAAACTAGGCGACAACTACTGGGTGATCGACACCGACTATGACAACTACGCCATCACCTACGCCTGCCGCTCCCTGAAAGACGACGGCAGCTGCGAGGACGGCTACGCCCTGGTGTTCTCCAGGAACCCCCGGGGCCTGCCTCCAGCGATTCAGCGCGTCGTCCGTCAGAAACAGGAGGAAATCTGCATGGCCGGACAGTTCCAGCCCGTCCTGCAGTCTGGGGCCTGCTGAGCAGAATCAAAGAAACGGGGAAGGAGAAGCAAGTGCCAGTCAGATGCTGACTTTGTGGATAGAGAGCAAGCAGAGGGAAAAACCTGAGAGCATGTGTGCGTGTGTGTGTGTGTATGTGTGTGTGTTTGTGTGTGTGTGGTTAATCTATGACAGTGGTGGAGTTGGAAAATGCAAAGAGATTGACAGAAGAAGAATATTTCTCTTCTTCTGCCTTTTATGAAATTTTCTTCGATCTCATCCTCCTCCTCACATATCCATGTATTATTTGTATGATGATTAGTATTTTGGCCAGATTTCTCTTGAAACAGAGATTTAATCTCAACGAGACATTCCTGGTTAAATAAAGGCTACATGCAGACATAAATACATACATACATACATGCATACATGCAAAAGAAAAATGTTACTTTGCAGTAATGTTTGTGAGTGAATGTGACAAAAAAAAATAAAGATTTTTTTTACACAAAAATGCTTCAAGATTTTATTTATTAATTAGAAATGTAAATGAATAAATAAAAAATAGTTTTAGAACAATCTGTTTGATAGAACTTGACCTTTGGTTTTGGTTGTTATTCATAATTAACCACATACATTTTGCTGTCAGATGTAGATGTTTATTTTTGACAAGAAATGAGATGGGCATCTCCAAAAAGATAATAAAAGAATGTAAAAGAAGGGTTATTATTGATAAAAATAAAAGAAAATGTATTTTCATTTCACTGAAAAAAAAGAATAAAAACAATATTGATTCCCTTCTCAATCATCAGAGGAAAAATGTTGGCAGTAGAGCACTTTGGGTTTGATAAATGCTGACTAGTTTTGTTTTTTTTTTCTTTGCATATTTTCATTAACGTTATGAATATTCACCTTCTGTGATGAACTCCAAGTCCATTAAGATGAAAGAACTCTTTGCAATCCCCCTAATTTTTTGCTCCTTCCACATATCGATGTATCAAAACTGTTTTGGTCCCTGCAAAAAATTGGCATTGCCTTCAGTAAGAAGTAAGTAAAACATTACTTTAATCTGACATCGGATAAGAATATGAACAATGTTCGGGTTAAAAGTTCTTAGTGAGATTTAGTCTTGCATCAAATAATGTGCTTACATTTTTATTCCTTTTTCTGTTCTCCTGGACACTGAAGCTCATCTTTGTTTACACAAAGACACCCAAAAACTTTCATTTTAAACAGGATTCTCTCACAATACATTCTTTAAAATATGCTTTTCTTCTACAGCTTTTGATTTCTGAGGCATTATAATCCAAAATTTGATGAGGAAGTTGACTACAATAAAAGAAGCTGTAGTGTTTTATACCAGCAGCGGTTGCTTTGGTTTAGGTTTTCTTTCATTCACAACCTGCCATTCCACATTTCACACACAGCCAGATTATGGCGCAGATAATCAGCGTGGTTCCTGAATTTACTTTCCACCTTGCTCACGTTGCAGCTAACTTTGTTTATCCACTCTGTACGTGTTGGGTCCACTTGTAAGAGGCTTTTTTGTTCATGTTTAGATTTTTTTTTTTTTTTTTTTTTTTTTCCCGGCTCTTGTGGGAGGCAAAAATTAAACACCCAGGCGGGGAAGGTGGGGGGGGGGGGG